TTTTCCTTCCATTAACATCTATGTAATTTTTGTCGTAATTTACAATAAGTTTTATTTTCTTTATTTTCTCAGCCTCGCTAGTTGCGTCATCCTGGGCGGTCAACCTAAATTATTTAACTCCAACGAACGGCTTCAACGGAGGCAACGGCAATGGTAACGGTAATGGAGGTTATAATAATGGAATTAATGGAAATGGCAACGGTGTGATTCTAAACGGCAACGGAAATGGGTTAGTCAATGGAAATGGTAACGGATACGTCAATGGTTTAAATGGAAATGGTGTGATTGTAAACGGTAATGGAAATGGTAATGGATATGTAAATGGCGGAAATGGTAACGGAGTATATACAAACGGCAATGGAAACGGAGTAATCAACGGAAATGGTAACGGATACGCCAATGGTGGTTATAGCAACGGTAATGGACTTATTGTGAACGGCAACGGTGTTGTTAACGGAAATGGATATGCCAATGGAAATGGTAATGGTTTTGTCAACGGCAACGGTGGTGTTAACGGAAACGGATATACCAATGGAAACGGTAATGGATTTGTCAACGGCAATGGTGCTGTTAACGGTAACGGATATGCCAATGGAAATGGTAATGGTTTAGTCAACGGCAACGGCGCTGTTAACGGGAACGGATACTACAACGGCATCGTGGACCCCATCAGCGCCCTTGCTTATGCTATTGGAGGTGGCGGCGTTCCCGGCGTGGACTATCCCATCCTGGCTTCTGTCCCCTTCACTGGATTCTCCTGCGGCGGACTAATACCCGGATACTACGCTGATACTGCCCCCGAGGCCGGCTGTCAGGTGAGTCTTTTACTGCCCCCGAGGCCGGCTGTCAGCTGAGTCTTATACTGCCCCCGAGGCCGGCTGTCAGGTGAGTCTTATACTGCCCCCGAGGCTGGCTGTCAGGTGAGTCTTTTACTGCCCCCGAGGCTGGCTGTCAGCTGAGTCTTATACTGCCCCGAGGCCGGCTGTCAGGTGAGTCTTATACTGCCCCCGAGGCTGGCTGTCAGCTGAGTCTTATGTCATATAAACTAATACACTCTGAATTTTATGAAGGTATAGTTGTTACGTCTCCTGCTGTATAAAGAAGATATATTCCTATATTCCTCAAAATTTTTGAGAATAGAACTTGAAGCATTTATCTGTTTCCATAATAATGTTGTTTAAAGTAGATGTTGCTTATCTTCAGGTTAATTGATAATGTTGTCCTCGACAGGTGTTTCACATCTGTCAGGCAGATGGCAGGAGCGACTCCTTCCTGTGTCCCAACGGCACCATCTTCAACCAGCAGTACTTCGTGTGTGACTGGTGGTACAACTTCGACTGTTCCACCGCCCCACAGTTCTACGACCTCAACGCTCAGATCGTAGTTGTCAACGGTAATGGCAACGGATACTCCAACGGCATCGTCAATGGCATTATTAACGGTAACGGGATTTACGGTAACGGAGCAAATGGCAATGGTGCAGTAAACGGAAATGGTGTCGTCAACGGTAATGGAAACGGATACGCTAATGGCAATGGTTATGCTAATGGCAACGGTAATGGCAATGGATACGTCAATGGTGCAGTAAATGGAAATGGACTCATCAATGGCAATGGCAACGGTTATGCTAATGGCAACGGTAATGGTAACGGATACGTCAATGGTGCAGTAAATGGAAATGGTGTCGTCAATGGTAATGGAAACGGATATGCTAATGGCAATGGTTATGCTAATGGCAACGGTAATGGCAATGGATACGTCAATGGTGCAGTAAATGGAAATGGACTCATCAATGGCAATGGCAACGGTTATGCAAATGGAAACGGCAATGGCATTGGATATGCCAACGGTGCAGTAAATGGAAATGGTCTCATCAGCGGCAATGGCAACGGTTATGCAAATGGCAACGGTAATGGTAATGGTCTTATCAACGGCAATGGTAATGGTCTTATCAACGGCAATGGTAATGGTCTTATCAACGGCAACGGTAATGGATACCCTAACGGTAACGGAATCAACGGAAATGGAAACGGATACACCAACGGTAATGGAAACGGTAACGGATACGCCAATGGCAACGGTAATGGTATTATCAATGGGAACGGTAATGGACTTTTCAATGGCAACGGTAATGGTCTTATCAACGGCAACGGTAATGGATACACCAATGGTAACGGAGTCAACGGGAACGGGTTGAGCATACCGGCGCCAGCCTCTCCCTCCGGCCTGTACCAGACGCCCGCCTTCTAAGTGTTGCCTCCCACATCTGTCTCAACTCTTACAAACTTTTTGTTATCATACAGCGAAGCTGCAGTTAGAGGACATTTGTCTGTGTCTTTCACTACTTCCAGGAATTAATATATATGAGAGATGTCAGCTTTACCTTCCTTAAGAGGCAGCTAAAACGACTAAGCTAACCAGCTTTGCCTGACACGGCAGGGTCAGGACCATAGTATGCTGTACCTAGTAACTATATACTGTACATGCTTGCTCTAGTTCTCTCACTCTCTTATCTACACCTTAAATTCCCGTCAATGTATTTGTCACTTGTTAAAGGTTCACCTAAATCTACACTTAAGATTCAATGAAATGGTTTTAGAGTATTTTTCATTACAATGTTTAGTGTTCTACCCTCACTGGTTGCTTCAAGATGCTTATATATTTTCTTATAATAAATATTATACAAAAACAATAAATATCATTATGATTCACTGAGTTTTTAACCCATTGTTATCAAATTCAAACACTTTTTCGGTTATTGAAATACTACGGAATGTGTACAGTCTTTTAGCAAAACGAAATTTACAAGAATGTTAACACGAAATAAAGATAAGCTTGGAAACACAATTTATAATCTAATTTGAAAATGTATCCTTAGAACCAAGATATATTTAACATCAGGTTCTAGTTTGGGTTACAATACATGACATTTTTCTTCCATATGTTGACATGAAAAGAAAGTGAAAGTGATTCCCATAGGCATGATGGTCTATTAGGGACAGTGTGGATTCAGTACACTGTATACTGAGACTTCGGTACACAAGGAGGCAGCATGGCCAGTATAGTGCCCCCATCCGCCTTCACTTCTCCAACATTTAAAATTTAGATTACCATATGCAGCTTGGTGGACTGGCAGTGCCCAAGACTAAGTGAGTTGCACGACTAGCGAGGTTATCCTAAAACTATATCTTGCGCTTGTGAGACTTCACTTGGATTATGCGGTTCAGTTTTGGGCACCATACTACAGAATGGATTTCGAATCCACAGAGGACTTGGCACTCCCTGAGGAGACGTAGAGTGAGGGGCGATATGATCGAGGTGTATAAATGGAAGCCAGGGCTAAACAAGGGTGATATAACAAGGGTACTCAAACTATTCAACCGGCAGCGAGCTCGTAGCAATGGTTTTAAATTGGACAAATTTCTATTTAGGCACGAGATAGGTAAACACTGGTTTGGAAATAGAGTAGTGGATGAGTGGAACAAGTTACTGAAGATCATCATTAATTCCAACAAGCTGTGTAGCTTCAAATATAGGTTAGACAGATATATGAGCGATAGGGGTTGGGTGTAAACTGGGCTGCCTATAGTATGGGCCAATTTGCCCGCTGCAGTTCAGTATCATTCCATTCTTATATTTTTATTTATCGATAACTATTGCTTCTGTGTATATTATCTCCCCAAAAGATTTAGAAGCCTCATTTACACACAATTGCAGGGCCTCAATTGTTTCTCTTACCATTGACAACACAACATACATATATTGTTTTTCACTCTTGATCTTTTTTTCATTTTTGTATTTCTTTATGGTTCTATTATTATTATTATTATTATTATTATTATTATTATTATTATTATTATTATTATTATTATTATTATTATTATTATTATTATTATTATTATTATTAAATTTCGCCCCCAGGCCCCGATGTGGGTCAGTGACCCAGCCAGGTGGGCTAATCCCCGCAAAAAAAAATTAAATAAATAAAACATATCTATCGTCTGTTGAGAAAATACCGAATTGATCTATATATATATATATATATATATATATATATATATATATATATATATATATATATATATATATATATATATATATATATATATATATATATATATATATATATATATATATATATATGTATATATAATATATATATAATATATATATATATATATATATATATATATATATATATATATATATATATCTTAGTTAATCCAACCTTAAAATGATCCTAAAACATTAGCAAATACTGTATTACTTTTTCATTAAGACTGTATGTTCTGAAGCTTGATCAAGGAATCAGAGTACCACCCTCATACCTGGGAGTTGGCGACCACAGTCCTCCTCTCTAAACGTTCTTGGGTTGCTTTTACCAATCATCTAATTCTAAGGGCTTGTATTTCTCTACCTTCCCCTGGCCTTCCTACTCCCAACCTTGCCCAATAATATTGCTATTATTATCCCCGACGTATCTAATTTTTCTTTGTCTGTACATTTGAAGTACAGTGTATTTCTCATGAAGTTTTTGCTAATACTATTACTTCTTCACTTGTTTACCTGTCAGAGTAACTTATTCTTAACATTGGCCTATAACACCACATTTCAAAGGCCTCCAACCTCTTTCTGGTGTCTGCTGAAAGTGTCCACGCCTCTGACCCATACATCAGACCTTGCCATATAAAGCCTTTCAGCAACCCTTTTCTCAAATAGACGTTAATGTTTCCTTTTCATTAGATCTTTCAGATTATTAAATGCTGTTTATGCTTGCCCTAATTTTGTTTTGATTTCTTCTGTACATCTACCATTACAACTAATGTTATCTCCCAAGTACACAATATTCTCCACTTGTTTAAGTTCGCCGTTGCCTACCATAATTTTTATTTTAGGATTCATTTTCAATTTGGAAAACCATTACTTTAGTCTTTTTGCATGATAACAGTAGGTTAAAACACAGTGTATGATAATCACATTTATTTTTATATCATATTTGTTACAAGAAAATATAATAAGCATCTTGAAGCAACCAAGTAAGGTAAAACAATACACTTTGTTATTAAAAATTCTCACAAAGACTTTCCTTAGAATTTTGTATGAAAATTTAGATGAACCTTCAACAAGTAACAAGAGGTTTTTAAACTTGCTGTACACACCTGGATATATTGCTAAGAAAGATCCATACTGAAGTAACACTGTTTAACTGAAGTCATTAACTATGTAAGGAACAATTATTATCGTATTTAGAATTACATATAAAAGATTATTGATACGAATATTTAAGACACATTAATTAATAAATAAAAAGGTAGACAGTCTTGTGTATTAGAGTTGTAGATAAAAGAGTGAGAACTAGAGCAAGCATGTACAGTATATAGCTACCAGGTACAGCAAACTATGGTCCTGACCCTGCCATGTCAGGCACAGCTGGTTAGCTTAGTCGTTTTAGCTGCCTCTTGAGGAAGGTAAAGCTGACATCTCTCATATATATTAATTCCTGGAAGTAGTGAAAGACACAGACAAATGTCCTCTAACTGCAGCTTCGGTGTATGATAACAAAAAGTTTGTAAGAGTTGAGACAGATGTGGGAGGCAACACTTAGAAGGCGGGCGTCTGGTACAGGCCGGAGGGAGAGGCTGGCGCCGGTATGCTCAACCCGTTACCGTTGACTCCGTTACCATTGGTGTATCCATTACCGTTGCCATTGGCGTATCCGTTACCGTTGCCGTTGATTCCGTTCCCATTGGTGTATCCATTACCGTTGCCGTTGATAAGACCATTTCCGTTGCCGTTGATAAGTCCATTACCGTTGCCATTGATAAGACCATTACCGTTGCCAATGGCGTATCCGTTACCGTTGCCGTTGATTCCGTTCCCATTGGTGTATCCATTACCGTTGCCATTGGCGTATCCGTTACCGTTGCCGTTGATTCCGTTCCCATTGGTGTATCCATTACCGTTGCCGTTGATAAGACCATTTCCGTTGCCGTTGATAAGTCCATTACCGTTGCCATTGATAAGACCATTACCGTTGCCATTGGCGTATCCGTTACCGTTTCCATTACCGTTGGTGTATCCGTTTCCATTTCCGTTGATTCCGTTACCGTTAGAGTATCCGTTACCGTTGCCGTTAATAAGACCATTACCATTTCCGTTGCCATTAATTCCATTACCGTTGCCATTGCCATTGATGAGTCCATTTCCATTTCCTGCACCATTGACGTATCCATTGCCATTACCGTTGCCATTAGCATAACCATTGCCATTAGCGTATCCATTTCCATTACCATTGACGACACCATTTCCATTAACTCCATTAATTGCACCATTTCCGTTTACTGCACCATTGCCATTTGCTCCGTTACCGTAAATCCCGTTACCGTTAATAATGCCATTGACGATGCCGTTTGAGTATCCGTTGCCATTACCGTTGACCACTCCGATCTGAGCGTTGAGACTGTAGAACTGTGGGGCGGTGGAACAGTCAAAGTTGGACCACCAGTCACACACGAAGTACTGCTGGTTGAAGATGGTGCCGTTGGGACACAGGAAGGAGTCGCTCCTGCCATCTGCCTGACAGATGTGAAACACCTGTCGAGGAAAACATTATCAATTAACCTGAAGATAAGCAACATTATTATGGAAAGAGATAAATGCTTCAAGTTCTATTATCAAAAATCTTAAGGAATATAGGAATATATCTTCTTTATACAGCAGGAAACGTAACAACTAAACCTTCATAAAACTCAGAATGTATTAGTTTATATGACATAAGACTCACCTGACAGCCGGCCTCGGGGGCAGTAAAAGACTCACCTGACAGCCGGCCTCGGGGGCAGTGTCAGCGTAGTATCCGGGTATTAGTCCGCCGCAGGAGAATCCAGTGAAGGGGACAGAAGCCAGGATGGGATAGTCCACGCCGGGGACGCCGCCACCTCCAATAGCATCAGCAAGGGCGCTGATGGGGTCCACGATGCCGTTGTAGTACCCGTTCCCGTTAACAGCGCCGTTGCCGTTGACAAATCCATTACCATTTCCATTGGCATATCCGTTCCCGTTAACAGCACCGTTCCCGTTGACAAATCCATTACCATTTCCAATGGCATATCCGTTTCCGTTAACAGCACCGTTGCCGTTGACTAAACCATTACCATTTCCATTGGTATAACCGTTCCCGTTAACAACACCGTTTCCGCTAACAAATCCATTACTATTTCCATTGGCATATCCGTTTCCGTTAACAGCACCGTTGCCGTTGACTAAACCATTACCATTTCCATTGGTATAACCGTTCCCGTTAATAACACTATTGCCATTGACAGTAAGTCCATTACCGTTGCCGTTTACACCATTGACGTATCCGTTACCATTTCCATTGACTAACCCATTTCCGTTACCGTTTAGAATCACACCGTTGCCATTTCCATTAACTCCATTAGTATAACCTCCATTACCGTTACCATTACCGTTGCCACCGTTGAAGCCGTTCGTTGGAGTTAAATAATTTAGGTTGATCGCCCAGGATGACGCAACTAGCGAGGCTGAGAAAATAAAGAAAATAAAACTTATTGTAAATTACGACAAAAATTACATAGATGTTAATGGAAGGAAAATTCTTATACATGATAATTGAGTTTTTAGTTTACGTTTGTGTTCAGTAATGAATAAGGGAGAGAGTTAGTCCTCTGAGATACATTAGAAACCTAATGAAAAGGATCATAATATGTACGAGTTACATAGTTCTCTTACCGATAAATATAAGATGTTTTGTGACCTTCATCTTCAGGAGATGTTTGTTGTGAAAGTCTTAATATGAGTTGTGACTCTGAATGAGTGTTGTTGTTGTTGAGTCAAGTGTTGAGTGTGAGTCTCGAGGAGGAGGTGAGGTGAGGAGGAAGACCAGAGCGAGAGTTGTGATGCTGGGTCCAACTGGCGCCGCTTTATATACATGGTCGGGGGGCAGACACTCCGGGGGGCTCAAGGTCGCTAGATGGTGAGAGGAACTATATTGGGTGACCTGCTTGGCTGATATTAAGTAGAACACTGCTGGTTGGGTCATAGACCTTGACACTATCATATTTTGTTAAAGTCTGACATGTTATGGAACAGGTAATTTTAGAGAGAAACTTATGTAAAAGTTCATATATACATTTAATGAAAAAATGTAAAAGTTATTATACATTTGCGTGTCTTTAGTATTAAATAATTCTTTTAAAATTCTGGATTACCTTCATACTGTTGATATATACAGACGAATCAGCTACGTTCACTCAGTATGGGAATTCCTCTAATGCAATACTGAACTAATGGGTAAATATAAACAGAATTTATCTTCAACTGAGACTTTTTTTAGTGATGAAAACCTTTATGATAAGTTTTCCCTCAGGTGTTAAAGTTTTTATTTATCGTTGGTTGATGTACAGACGAGATAGGACAGTAGTTTGTGTTGGCAACAGTGGTGATGGGAGGACAGGAGGTGGTGGAGAGAGTGACTGTGGTATATGGCTGGACTGTGGTATAAAGTAGGACTGTGGTATAAGGCTGGACTGTGGTATAAAGTAGGACTGTGGTATAAGGCTGGACTGTGGTATAAGGCTGGACTGTTAAATATTAATTAAAATGAAATAAAATTTGTAATCGATGAGTAAATTCTTCCCTTGTTTGAAAAAAGGTGAATCAAATTATGATATTTGACAGTTGTTGTTTACAGAAGGTGAGACATAGAGTTATGAAAGTAACTCATGTGACCTGGTGAGGAACTCTGACTTTCACTGACGAGATTAAACTTTCCATAATAGATCTTCATTATATTTCGATTATTAATATATCTCTTCCTATCTGCAGGTTAGATTAAGTTAGGTTAGGTTAGTTCAAAGATCAGGTTAGAAGTTAGGTTAGGTTTGGTTTGGTTAGGTTAGGTCAGTTAACCTCTCTTAAGTAACCGTCGTGAGGTCAAAGGAGAATTCATGTTTTAGTATCGGTATTGTTTTTATCGTCGTTGTAAACAATACTGAAGTTTCTGTCGTGTCTCACCCTAAGGAAAACTGTCTTGTCTTTCTGTAACAATATTCTGTATTCGTTTCTACAGATGGAAAGAGTTATCACCTAAGTCGCCTTTCATGTTTCATCAAGGTCCATCCTCCCGTTCATGAGACGATTAATTGAAAAATATCTTCTTTAGTCTTTACCTTTATTCTTGTTCTCTGGTAAATTTCATCAAATTCGAATATATTTCCTTTTCTTTTGGTACTTTTAAAATTTCTAGTTATTTTTTTTAGAAAATTATTATGATACTTTATATTGTGACGTAAACATGATCCTTGTCAGTAAAGTTATGTACCAAGTTGATGAAGTCTTTCTCCCGTGTTGTGGTTCATCCGCCTCCACACAACGCTTCACATTCCTTCATTACACTTCACGTCTTGTTAGGTTGATTCGTCAGGTTCTTTCATAATAACACTATCACTTAGGAAACGTCTCGCTTGTACAGTACATTCAAAACCCCTGCTGCTCCACGAATCCCGTAATTCAGACTCGTGAATGTAAAGCATCCGTGGGCACAATAATGGATGAGTGTCTACTGCTTCGGGTTCATGAAGCAGCATGAGAGGCAACAGGACTTTTGACCGTGACTGCACAGTACGTTTCCCAGAAATACTCTTTCCCACACCCCCATTATTTTTTTCCTTATATTACTCGGTCACATAATCAGTTTTCCATCTCCATCTACATATGTTGAATTTTTTTTTGCCACACTCCTGGGACAAAATTAAGGTTATCTTTCCTCTAGCCACACTATTATTGCGGGGGAAGGATGGTTGAACAGCGACTCAAATATTAGAACCACCGGAAATTAGACCCGGGCTTTAGCTAACTGAACAGAAAATTATGTAAACAGTTAACAGAAGAAAATATTACATTGTATGGGATGAGAAACACTCCTTCAACGCGGATAGGTCAGGAATACTTAACCGTACCTAGCGACGGGGTCTCCACAGGGCAGCGAACTAAACAGAAGCAACAGCTCCATCACGAATACCCGTATAAATGACCAACTAAGACCTGTCATGACCCAATGCAGCTCACTATCTCTTCAACAAAACAAAAGTCAACTCACAGTACGTCGGCGGGACATCAAGCTTTCGGAGTCATTAAAAGTATGGTGTAAAGGAGGAGGCAGCAGGACCATTGCACAACAGTCTCTGGCCTCACACCGCTGGGGCAACAGCTTGACAAATGAAGAGCTGTTGAGGACAAACAAATGAATCAATAGTAAAACAAAGAAAATTAAAGATGTAGTAAACTAAAAACACACAAACTGGATGAGACAAGGACAAGAACTCACAGAGGAGTGTGCACAGTATAGACCTCTCCGCTAGCCAGGTCTCGGTCAAGTGAGGGACAGCCCGGACAGACAGCAGGGTTGTCCCACAAGTTAAATACAATGAATTGAACATGGTACTTCGATACAGATTCAGTGAACGACTACGAAGCACAAATCAAAGGTCGAAGTTCTAAACGAGTCAATAATTCCCTCCTTTACTGATTTCTGTATCTTCCTCTAATACCAACTCCACACAAACACACACACATATTCACTTCTTTTCTGGCCTCAAGGTATCTGTTTGGTTTATTCTGTCTTTCCATATAACTTGGGATCACCCGACAGTAACACCGTCACCCACAACAACTGGTCGACGCCATGGTCTCTCTCGCCATTCATAAACATATCAACGTCTTGTTTGTACACCATCTTGATTTCTTGAGTTCTTCTTCTCGCGTGTTATTCTCCTTCTAGGTGTTCCTCTCCCCCTCCGCCCCTCTCTCCCCTTCCGCTATTCTCTCCCTCACCCTACCATCGTCTTCTGAACTATACACCGGATTTATCATTTTCTTTTAACATTATCTCAATATATCAATAACACCACAACAAACTCCTGCACTCACATCTCTGCCAGACACTTCCTCCATTCTCACATCTCTTCCTTGTTTCTATATTGCTTGTTCTCTTTATTCTATTTACCCAACATATTATTCTTAAGTTCTTAGTTATTGCTTCTCCTAATTTCCTTGTTACTCTTTCATTCAGGGCCCAGCTTGACACATATCGCTACGTGTAATTGAAACAGAGAAATACGTGTTGCTTTCTTGCAATGTAAGGCGTAGCTTGATTGTAACCGAACTTATTGATGATGTAGGGAGAAGGAATCATGGGAATTCTTGACCATGGAAGCCTAAACAGGTGTGTACATACGCTGAAGGAGTAATTAGTTGACTCTTAATTTGGTTTTATTTATCTAGGTGAGAAACTTTTCCTCCAGGGTGATAATTTAGTGTCTGTTGGGGCCTATGGTGATGTGGTCTGCGCTGATGTGAGTATTGTTACCCAGTTCTTGAGGTAAGGTGTTCTCCCTCACCCACCAGGAGGGGAGGGGATACGTGCCTAGCTGTTGGTCATGAGGGAAATGGAGAATGATGATTTTAACTCCTAACTCTAAGAAAAATAGAAAATGCCAGGGAGTTGAGGGAGGGAGGGAGGGAAAATACATGTACAAATACAACTAAAAAATATTGCTTTTATTTCCTTCTTGTTCACTTGTTTCTGTACATGAAATCTTCGAGTGGTATTTGGGTACAATTGATAGATATGAACTGTATTGTACTACTAATAACGAGTTTCCATTTTTTTTAATCCATGTTTTATAACCAAACAATCCTATCATTACATCTTGTTAATATTCATGTGAATCATATTTGATGTTTTGATGAAGATGACAGCTACTGCAGGTACAATACTAGATCTTCAGAATTATTGTAAATCTGAAAGAAATCTATTGTTTAAGTCGTGATAAGAATAGGATAAAAACACATTGTCTAATAATATTATTTATTATTTTTTTAGATTATATTTGTCATAAGAAAATATAATAAGCATCTTGAAGCAACAAATAAAGGTTGTCAACTACACTTTGTAATTATAAATAATAAACAAAATATTGATTAATCTCGAGTAAAGATTTAGTTGAACTCTTAAGAAGTAACAAGTTAATTTTTGGAAAACATTTTAAGCTCCCTGACCACACCTCAATATAACAATACTTTAGAACATACAGCAGATACTGAAGTAATTTATTTAACTTGAAACCACGGCCGAGTTATTTATTATACAGAAAAAATACTGTTAACTGAATCACAAAGATTTATACAAGATTTCCTGGATTATTTTTTAGAACACCGCAATTAATAATTTAGAAAAAGACGCTCATGTCCACAGGTGCAACATAAGTTGTAAATGTATTATAACTTTATATAAGTACATAAGTGTATTAAGTTGTAGATAAAAGAGTGAGAACTAGAGCAAGCATGTACAGTATATAGTTACTAGGTACAGCATACTATGGTCCTGACCCTGCCATGTCAGGCTCAGCTGGTTAGCTTAGTCGTTTTAGCTGCCTCTTGAGGAAGGTAAAGCTGACATCTCTCATATATATTAATTCCTGGAAGTAGTGAAAGACACAGACAAATGTCCTCTAACTGCAGCTTCGGTGTATGATAACAAAAAGTTTGTAAGAGTTGAGACAGATGTGGGAGGCAACACTTAGAAGGCGGGCGTCTGGTACAGGCCGGAGGGAGAGGCTGGCGCCGGTATGCTCAACCCGTTCCCGTTGACTCCGTTACCATTGGTGTATCCATTACCGTTGTTACCGTTGTTGATTCCGTTCCATTGGCGTATCCATTACCGTTGCCGTTGATAAGACCATTTCCGTTGCCGTTGATAAGTCCATTACCGTTGCCATTGATAAGACCATTACCGTTGCCATTGGTGTATCCATTACCGTTGCCGTTGATAAGACCATTTCCGTTGCCGTTGATAAGTCCATTACCGTTGCCATTGATAAGACCATTACCGTTGCCATTGGCATATCCGTTACCGTTGCCGTTGATTCCGTTCCCATTGGTGTATCCATTACCGTTGCCATTGGCGTATCCGTTACCGTTGCCGTTGATTCCGTTCCCATTGGTGTGTCCATTACCGTTGCCGTTGATAAGACCATTTCCGTTGCCGTTGATAAGTCCATTACCGTTGCCATTGATAAGACCATTACCGTTGCCATTGGCGTATCCGTTACCGTTTCCATTACCGTTGGTGTATCCGTTTCCATTTCCGTTTATTCCGTTACCGTTAGAGTATCCGTTACCGTTGCCGTTAATAAGACCATTACCATTGCCGTTTCCATTAGCATAACCGTTGCCATTGCCATTGATGAGTCCATTTCCATTTACTCCACCATTGACGTATCCATTGCCATTACCGTTGCCATTAGCATAACCATTGCCATTAGCGTATCCGTTTCCATTACCGTTGACGACACCATTTCCGTTTACTGCACCATTGCCATTTGCTCCGTTACCGTAAATCCCGTTACCGTTAATAATGCCATTGACGATGCCGTTGGAGTATCCGTTGCCATTACCGTTGACCACTCCGATCTGAGCGTTGAGACTGTAGAACTGCGGGGCGGTGGAACAGTCGAAGTTGTACCACCAGTCGCACACGAAGAACTGCTGGTTGAAGATGGTGCCGTTGGGACACAGGAAGGAGTCGCTCCTGCCATCTGCCTGACAGATGTGGAATACCTGTCGAGGACAACATTATCAATTAACCTGAACATAAGCAACATCTACTTTAAACAACATTATTATGGAAACAGATAAATGCTTCAAGTTCTATTCTCAAAAATCTTGAGGAATATAGGAATATATCTTCTTTATACAGCAGGAGACGTAACAACTAAACCTTCATAAAATTCAGAATGTATTAGTTTATATGACATAAGACTCAGCTGACAGCCGGCCTCGGGGGCAGTATAAGACTCAACTGACAGCCGGCCTCGGGGCAGTATAAGACTCACCTGACAGCCGGCCTCGGGGGTAGTATAAGACTCAGCTGACAGCCGGCCTCGGGGGCAGTAAAAGACTCACCTGACAGCCGGCCTCGGGGGCAGTATCAGCGTAGTATCCGGGTATTAGTCCGCCGCAGGAGAATCCAGTGAAGGGGACAGAAGCCAGGATGGGATAGTCCACGCCGGGGACGCCGCCACCTCCAATAGCATCAGCAAGGGCGCTGATGGGGTCCACGATGCCGTTGTAGTACCCGTTCCCGTTAACAGCGCCGTTGCCGTTGACAAATCCATTACCATTTCCATTGGCATATCCGTTCCCGTTAACAGCACCGTTCCCGTTGACAAATCCATTACCATTTCCAATGGCATATCCGTTTCCGTTAACAGCACCGTTGCCGTTGACTAAACCATTACCATTTCCATTGGTATAACCGTTCCCGTTAACAACACCGTTTCCGCTAACAAATCCATTACTATTTCCATTGGCATATCCGTTTCCGTTAACAGCACCGTTGCCGTTGACTAAACCATTACCATTTCCATTGGTATAACCGTTCCCGTTAATAACACTATTGCCATTGACAGTAAGTCCATTACCGTTGCCGTTTACACCATTGACGTATCCGTTACCATTTCCATTGACTAACCCATTTCCGTTACCGTTTAGAATCACACCGTTGCCATTTCCATTAACTCCATTAGTATAACCTCCATTACCGTTACCATTACCGTTGCCACCGTTGAAGCCGTTCGTTGGAGTTAAATAATTTAGGTTGACCGCCCAGGATGACGCAACTAGCGAGGCTGAGAAAATAAAGAAAATAAAACTTATTGTAAATTACGACAAAAATTACATAGATGTTAATGGAAGGAAAATTCTTATACATGATAATTGAGTTTTTAGTTTACGTTTGTGTTCAGTAATGAATAAGAGAGAGAGTTAGTCTTCTGAGATACATTAGAAACTTAATGAAAAAGATCATTATATATACGAGTTACATAGTTCTCTTACCGATAAATATAAGATGTTTTGTGACCTTCATCTTCAGGAGATGTTTGTTGTGAAAGTCTTAATATGAGTTGTGACTCTGAGTGAGGTGTTGTTGTTGTTGAGTCAAGTGTTGAGTGTGAGTCTCGAGGAGGAGGTGAGGTGAGGAGGAAGACCAGAGCGAGAGTTGTGATGCTGGGTCCAACTGGCGCCGCTTTATATACATGGTCGGGGGGCAGACACTCCGGGGGGCTCAAGGTCGCTAGATGGTGAGAGGAACTGTATTGGATGACCTGCTTGGCTGATATTAAGTAGAACACTGCTGGTTGGGTCATAGACCTTGACACTATCATATTTTGTTAAAGTCTGACATGTTATGGAACAATGTAATTTTAGAGAGAAACTTATGTAAAAGTTCATATATAAATTTAATGAAAAAATGTAAAAGTTATTATACATTTGCGTGTCTTTAGTATTAAATAATTCTTTTAAAATTCTGGATTACCTTCATACTGTTGATATATACAGACGAATCAGCTACGTTCACTCAGTATGGGAATTCCTCTAATGCAATACTGAACTAATGGGTAAATATAAACAGAATTTATCATCAACTGAGACTTTTTTTAGTGATGAAAACCTTTATGATAAGTTTTCCCTCAGGTGTTAAAGTATTTATTTATCGTTGGTTGATGTACAGACGAGATAGGACAGTAGTTTGTGTTGGCAACAGTGGTGATGGGAGGACACGAGGTGGTGGAGGGAGTGGCTGTGGTATATGGCTGGACTGTGGTATAAAGTAGGACTGTGGTATAAGGCTGGACTGTGGTATAAAGTAGGACTGTGGTATAAGGCTGGACTGTGGTATAAAGTAGGACTGTGGTATAAGGCTGGACTGTGGTATAAGGCTGGACTGTTAAATATTAATTAAAATGAAATAAAATTTGTAATCGATGAGTAAATTCTTCCCTTGTTTGAAAAAAGGTGAATCAAATTATGATATTTGACAGTTGTTGTTTACAGAAGGTGAGACATTGAGTTATGAAAGCAACTCACGTGACCTGGTGAGGAACTCTGACTTTCACTGACGAGATTAAACTTTCCATAATAGATCTTCATTATATTTCGATTATTAATATATCTCTTCCTATCTGCAGGTTAGATTAAGTTAGGTTAGGTTAGTTCAAAGATCAGGTTAGAAGTTAGGTTAGGTTTGGTTTGGTTAGGTTAGGTCAGTTAACCTCTCTTAAGTAACCGTCGTGAGGTCAAAGGAGAATTCATGTTTTAGTATCGGTATTGTTTTTATCGTCGTTGTAAACAATACTGAAGTTTCTGTCGTGTCTCACCCTAAGGAAAACTGTCTTGTCTTTCTGTAACAATATTCTGTATTCGTTTCTACAGATGGAAAGAGTTATCACCTAAGTCGCCTTTCATGTTTCATCAAGGTCCATCCTCCCGTTCATGAGACGATTAATTGAAAAATATCTTCTTTAGTCTTTACCTTTATTCTTGTTCTCTGGTAAATTTCATCAAATTCGAATATATTTCCTTTTCTTTTGGTACTTTTAAAATTTCTAGTTATTTTTTTTAGAAAATTATTATGATACTTTATATTGTGACGTAAACATGATCCTTGTCAGTAAAGTTATGTACCAAGTTGATGAAGTCTTTCTCCCGTGTTGTGGTTCATCCGCCTCCACACAACGCTTCACATTCCTTCATTACACTTCACGTCTTGTTAGGTTGATTCGTCAGGTTCTTTCATAATAACACTATCACTTAGGAAACGTCTCGCTTGTACAGTACATTCAAAACCCCTGCTGCTCCACGAATCCCGTAATTCAGACTCGTGAATGTAAAGCATCCGTGGGCACAATAATGGATGAGTGTCTACTGCTTCGGGTTCATGAAGCAGCATGAGAGGCAACAGGACTTTTGACCGTGACTGCACAGTACGTTTCCCAGAAATACTCTTTCCCACACCCCCATTATTTTTTTCCTTATATTACTCGGTCACATAATCAGTTTTCCATCTCCATCTACATATGTTGAATTTTTTTTTGCCACACTCCTGGGACAAAATTAAGGTTATCTTTCCTCTAGCCACACTATTATTGCGGGGGAAGGATGGTTGAACAGCGACTCAAATATTAGAACCACCGGAAATTAGACCCGGGCTTTAGCTAACTGAACAGAAAATTATGTAAACAGTTAACAGAAGAAAATATTACATTGTATGGGATGAGAAACACTCCTTCAACGCGGATAGGTCAGGAATACTTAACCGTACCTTGCGACGGGGTCTCCACAGGGCAGCGAACTAAACAGAAGCAACAGCTCCATCACGAATACCCGTATAAATGACCAACTAAGACCTGTCATGACCCAATGCAGCTCACTATCTCTTCAACAAAACAAAAGTCAACTCACAGTACGTCGGCGGGACATCAAGCTTTCGGAGTCATTAAAAGTATGGTGTAAAGGAGGAGGCAGCAGGACCATTGCACAACAGTCTCTGGCCTCACACCGCTGGGGCAACAGCTTGACAAATGAAGAGCTGTTGAGGACAAACAAATGAATCAATAGTAAAACAAAGAAAATTAAAGATGTAGCAAACTAAAAACACACAAACTGGATGAGACAAGGACAAGAACTCACAGAGGAGTGTGCACAGTATAGACCTCTCCGCTAGCCAGGTCTCGGTCAAGTGAGGGACAGCCCGGACAGACGGCAGGGTTGTCCCACAAGTTAAATACAATGAATTGAACATGGTACTTCGATACAGATTCAGTGAACGACTATGGAGCACGAATCAAAGGTCGAAGTTCTAAGCGAGTCAATAATTCCCTCCTTTACTGATTTCTGTATCTTACTCTAATACCAACTCCACACAAACACACACACATATTCACTTCTTTTCTGGCCTCAAGGTATCTGTTTGGTTTATTCTGTCTTTCCATATAACTTGGGATCACCCGTCAGTAACACCGTCACCCACAACAACTGGTCGACGCCATGGTCTCTCTCGCCATTCATAAACATATCGACGTCTTGTTTGTCCACCATCTTGATTTCTTGAGTTCTTCTTCCCGCGTGTTATTCTCCTTCTAGGTGTTCCTCTCCCCCTCCGCCCCTCTCACCTTCCACCACTCCTCTCTCCCTCCCCCTACCATCGTCTTCTGAACTATACACCGGATTTATCATTTTCTTTTATCATTATCTCAATATATCAATAACACCACAACAAACTCCTGCACTCGCCTCTCTGCCAGACACTTCCTCCATTCTCACATCTCTTCCTTGTTTCTATATTGCTTGTTCTCTTTATTCTATTTACCCAACATATTATTCTTAAGTTCTTAATTTTTGCTTCTCCTAATTCACTTGTTACTCTTTCATTCAGGGCCCAGCTTGACACATATCGCTACGTGTAATTGAAACAGAGAAATACGTGTTACTTTCTCGCACTGTAAGGCGTAGCTTGATTGTAACCGAACTTATTGATGATGTAGTGAGGAGGAATCATGGGAATTCTTGACCATGGAAGCCTAAACAGGTGTGTACATACGCTAAAGGAGTAATTAGTTTAAAGTTGACTCTTAATTTGGTTTTATTTATCTAGGTGAGAAACTTTTCCTCCAGGGTGATAATTTAGTGTCTATTGGGGCCTATGGTGGTGTGGTCTGCACTAATGTGAGTATGGCCGCGCTCTACATCACAGTTCATTGTTAACCAGTTCTTGAAGTAAGGTGTTCTCCTCACCCACCAGGAGGGAGGGATACGTGCCTAGCTGTTGGTCATGTGAAATGGAGAAAGATGATTTTAACTCCTAACTCTAAGAAAAATAGAAAATGCCAGGGAGTTGAGGGAGGGAGAGGAAAATACATGTACAAATACAACTAAAAATATTGTTTTTATTTCCTTCTTGTTCACTTGTTTCTGTACATGAAATCTTCGAGTGGTATTTGGGTACAATTGATAGATATGAACTGTATTGTACTACTAATAACGAGTTTCCATTTTTTAATCCATGTTTTATAGCCAAACAATCCTATCATTACATCTTGTTAATATTCATGTGAATCATATTTGATGTTTTGATGAAGATGACAGCTACTGCAGGTACAATACTAGATCTTCAGAATTATTGTAAATCTGAAAGAATTCTATTGTTTAAGTCGTGATAAGAATAGGATAAAACACATTGTCTAATAATATTATTTATTATTTTAGATTATATTTGTCATAAGAAAATATAATAAGCATCTTGAGCAAGCAACAAATAAAGGCTGTCAACTACACTTTGTAATTATAAATAATAAACAAAATATTGATTAATCTCGAGTAAAGATTTAGTTGAACTCTTAACAAGTAACAAGTTAATTTTTGGAAAAATTTTAAGCTCCCTGACTACACCTCAATATAACAATACTTTAGAACATACAGCAGATAATGAAGTAATTTAATTAACTTGAAACCACGACCGAGTTATTTATTATACAGAAAAATTTGTTAACTGAATCACAAAGATTTATACAAGATTTCCTGGATTATTTTTAGAACACCGCAATTAATAATTTAGAAAAAGACGCTCATGTTCACAGGTGCAACATAAGTTGTAAATGTATAATAACTTTATATAAGTACATAAGTGTATTAAGTTGTAGATAAAAGAGTGAGAATCAGAGCAAGTATGTACAGGTATATAGTTACCAGGTACAGTGACATACTATGGTCCTGGACCCTGCCATGTCAGGCTCAGCTGGTTAGCTTAGCCGTTTTAGCTGCCTCTGAGGAAGGTAAAGCTGACATCTCTCATATATATTAATTCCTGGAAGAAGTGAAAGACACAGACAAATGTCCCTCTAACTGCAGCTTCGGTGTATGATAACAAAAGTTTGTAAGAGTTGAGACAGATGTGGGAGGCAACACTTAGAAGGCGGGCGTCTGGTACAGGCCGGAGGGTGCTGGCGCCGGTATGCTCAACCCGTTCCCGTTGACTCCGTTACCATTGGTGTATCCATTACCGTTGCCATTGGCGTATCCGTTACCGTTGCCGTTGATTCCGTTCCCCATTGGTGCATCCATTACCGCTGCCGCTGATAAGACCATTTCCGCTGCCGCTGATAAGTCCACACACCGTTGCCATTGATAAGACCATTACCGCCGCCATTGGCATATCCGTTACCGTTGCCGTTGATTCCGTTCCCATTGGTGTAACCATTACCGTTGCCATTGGCGGTATCCGTTACCGCTGCCGTTGATTCCGTTCCCATTGGTGTATCCATTACCGTTGCCGTTGATAAGACCATTTCCGCTGCCGTTGATAAGTCCACACGCTGCCATTGATAAGACCATTGCTGCTAAGCATTGGCGTATCCGTTACCGTTTCCATTACCGTTGGTGTATCCGTTTCCATTTCCGCTTATTCCGTTACCGTTAGAGTATCCGTTACCGCTGCCGTTAATAAGACCATTACCATTTCCGCTGCCATTAATTCCATTACCGTTGCCATTGCCATTGATGAGTCCATTTCCATTTCTTCTGCACCATTGACGTATCCATTGCCATTACTGCTGCCATTAGCATAACCACGTTAGTGTATCCATTTCCATTACCATTGACGACACCATTTCCATTAACTCCACACTGCACCATTTCCGTTTACTGCACCATTGCCATTTGCTCCGTTACCGCAAATCCTGCTACCGTTAATAATGCCATTGACGATGCCGTTGGAGTATCCGTTGCCATTACCGTTGACCACCCGGATCTGAGCGTTGAGACTGTAGAACTGTGGGCGGTGGAACAGTCGAAGTTGTACCACCAGTCACACACGAAGAACTGCTGGTTGAAGATGGTGCCGTTGGGACACAGGAAGGAGTCGTGCTCCTGCCATCTGCCTGACAGATGTGAAACACCTGTCGAGGACAACATTATCAATTAACCTGAAGATAAGCAACAGTATTATGGAAACATATAAATGCTTCAAGTTCTATTATAAAAAATCTTAAGGAATATAGGAATATATCTTCTTTATACAGCAGGAAACGTAACAACTAAACCTTCATAAAACTCAGAATGTATTAGTTTATATGACCACATCATAAGACTCAGCTGACAGCCGGCTTCGGGGGCAGCATAAGACTCAGCTGACAGCCGGCCTCGGGGGCAGTATAAGACTCACCTGACAGCCGGCCCCGGGGCAGTATCAGCGTAGTATCCGGGTATTAGTCCGCCGCAGGAGAATCCAGTGAAGGGGACAGAAGCCAGATGGATAGTCCACGCCGGGGACGCCGCCACTTCCAATAGCATCAAAGAAGGGCGCTGATAAATCCACGATGCCGTTGTAGTACCCGTTCCCGTTACCATGCCGTTGCCGTTGACAAATCCATTACCATTTCCATTGGCATATCCGTTCCCGTTAACAGCAAGCACCGTTCCCGTTGACAAATCCATTACCATTTCCAATGTCATATCCGTTTCCGTTAACAGGCACCGCTGCCGTTGACTAAACCATTACCATTTCCATTGGTATAACCGGTTCCCGTTAACAACACCGTTTCCGCTAACAAATCCATTACCATTTCCATTGGCATATCCGTTTCCGTTAACAGCAATCAAAGTTGCCGTTGACTAAACCATTACCATTTCCATTGGTATAACCGTTCCTGCTAATAACACTATTGCCATTGACAGTAAGTCCATTTACCGCGTTGCCGTTTATTGAATTCATTGACGTATCCGTTACCATTTCCATTGACTAACCCATTTCCGTTACCGTTTAGAATCACACCGTTGCCATTTCCATTAACTCCATTAGCATAACCTCCATTACCGTTACCATTACCGCTGCCACCGCTGAAGCTGCCCAGTTTGGAGTTAAATAATTTAGGTTGACCGCCCAGGATGACGCAAATTCAGCGAGGCTGAGAAAAATAAAGAAAAATAAAACTTATTGTAAATTACGACAAAAATTACATAGATGTTAATGGAAGGAAAATTTTATACATGATAATTGAGTTTTTAGTTTACGTTTGTGTTCAGTAATGAATAAGAGAGAGAGAGTTAGTCTTCTGAGATACATTAGAAACTTAATGAAAAAAGATCATTATATATACGAGTTACATAGTTCTCTTTACCGATAAATATAAGATGTTTTGTGACCCTCTTCATCTTCAGAGATGCTTTGTTGTGCAAGTCTTAATATTAGTTGTGACTCTGAGGAGGTGTTGTTGTTGCTGAGTCAAGTGTTGAGTGTGAGTCTCGAGGAGGAGGTGAGGTGAGGAGGAAGACCAGAGCGAGAGTTGTGATGCTGGGTCCAACTGGCGCCGCTTATATACATGGTCGGGGGCAGACACTCCGGGGCTCAAGGTCGCTAGATGGTGAGAGAGGAACTGTATTGGGTGACCTGCTTGGCTGATATTAAGTAGAACACTGCTGGTTGGGTCATAGACCTTGACAATATCATATTTGTTAAAGTCTGACATGCTATGGAACAGGTAATTTTAGAGAGAAACCATGTAAAAGTTCATATATAAATTTAATGAAAAATGTAAAAGTTATTATACATTTGCGTGTCTTTAGTATTAAATAGTTCTTTTAAAATTTGATTACCTTCATACTGTTGATATATACAGACGAATCAGCCATGTTCACTAGTATGGGAATTCTCCTTATGCAATACTGAACTAATGGGTAAATATAAACAGAATTTATCATCAACTGAGACTTTTTTAGTGATGAAAAACCTTTATGATAAGTTTTCCTCAGGTGTTAAAGTATTTATTTATCGTTGGTTGATGTACAGACGAGATAGACAGTAGTTTGTGTTGGCCACAGTGGTGATGGAGGACACGAGGTTGTGGAGAGAGGGCTGTATGGCTGACTGTGGTATAAAGTAGGACTGTGGTATAAGGCTGACTGTGGTATGCTAAAAGTAGGACTGTGGTATAAGGCTGACTGTGGTATAAGGCTGGACTGTTAAATATTAATTAAAATGAAATAAAATTTGTAATCGATGAGTAAATTCTTCCCTTGTTTGAAAAAAAGGTGAATCAAATTATGATATTTGACAGTTGTTGTTTACAGAAGGTGAGACATATAGAGTTATGAAAGTAACTCATGTGACCTGGGTGAGGAACCTGACTTTCACTGACGAGATTAAACTTTCCATAATAGATCTTCATTATATTTCGATTATTATTATATTCTTCCTATCTCGCAGGTTAGATTAAGTTAGGTTAGGTTAGTTCAAAGATCAGGTTAGAAGTTAGGTTGGGGCTTTGGTTTGGTTAGGTTAGGTCATTAACCTCTTACAAGTAACCGCCGTGAGGTCAAAGGAGAATTTATGTTTTAGTATCGTATTGTTTTATCGTCGGTGTAAACAGTACTGAAGTTTCTGTCGTGCCCCACCCGAAGGAAAACTTTCTTGTCTTTCTGTAAATAATATTCTGTATCCGTTTCTACAGATGGAAAGAGTTATCACCTATGTCGCCTTCATGTTTCACTGGGCGTCCATCCTCCCGTTCGCGAGACGACAATTGAAAAATATCTTCTTTAGTCTTTACCTTTATTCTTGTTCCCTGGTAAATTTTACCAAATCTGAATATATTTCCTTTTGGCACTTTTAAAATTTCTAGTTATTTTTTAGAAAATTATTATGATATTCTTATATTGTGACGTAAACATGATCCTTGTCAGTAAAGTTATGTACCAAGTTGATGAAGTCTTTCTCCCGTGTTGTGGTTCATCCGCCTCCACACAACGCTTCACATTCCCTTCATTACACTTCACGTCTTGTAAGGTTGATCTCGTCAGTTCGTTCATAATAACACTATCACTTAGGAAACGTCTCGCTTGTACAGTACATTCAAAACCCCGCTGCTCCATGAATCCCATAATTCAGATTCGTGAATGTAAAGCATCCGTGGGCACAATAATGGATGAGTGTCTACTGCTTCGGGTTCAAGTGAAGCAGCATGAGAGGCAACAGGACTTTTTGACCGTGATCAACAGTACGTTTCCCAGAAATACTCTTTTCCCCACACCCCTCATTATTTTTTTCCTTATATTACTCGGTCACATAATCAGTTTTCCATTCCATCTACATATTACGTTGAATTTTTGCCACACCCTGGGACAAAATTCAAGGCTATCTTTCCTCTAGCCACACTATTATTAGTGGGGAAGGATGGTTGAACAGCGACTCAAATATTAGAAAACACCGGAAATTAGATCCGGCTTTAGCTAACTGAACAGAAAATTATGCAAACAAAGTTAACAGAAGAAAATATTACATTGTATGGGATGAGAAACACTCCTTCAACGCGGATAGGTCAGGAATACTTAACCGTACCTAGCGACGGGGTCTCCACAGGGCAGCGAACTAAACAGAAGCAAATAGCCCATCACGAATACCCGTATAAATGACTAACTAAGACCTGTCATGACCCAATGCAGCTCACCATCTCTTCAACAAAACAAAAGTCAACTCACAGTACGTCGGCGGGACATCAAGCTTGAGTCATTAAAAGTATGGTGGTGTAAAGGAGGAGGCAGCAGGACCATTGCACAACAGTTCCTCTGGCCTCACATTCCGCCAGCAACAGCTTGACAAATGAAGAGCTGTTGAGGACAAACAAATGAATCAATAGTAAAACAAAGAAAATTAAAGATGTAGCAACCAAAACACACACAAACTGGATGAGACAAGGACAAAGAACTCACAGAGGGAGTGTGGTGCACAGTATAGACCTCTGCTAGCCAGGTCTCGGTCAAGTGAGGGACAGCCAGACGGCAGGGTTGTCCCACAAGTTAAATACAATGAATTGAACATGGTACTGGATACAGATTCACAGTGAACGACTACGAAGCACGAATCAAAGGTCGAAGTTCTAAACGAGTCAACAATTCCCTCTTTACCGGATTTCTGCATCTTCCCAATACCAACCCACACAAAACACAATACCACATATTCACTTTTCTGACCTCAAGGTACCCGGTTTGGTTTATTCTGTCTTTCCATATAACTTGGGATCACCCGTCAGTAACACCGTCACCCACAAAACTGGTCGACGCCATGGTCTCTCTCTCGCCATTCATAAACATAGTGACGTTGTTTGTCCACCATCTTGATTTCTTGAGTTCTTCCCGCGTGATATTTCTCCTTCTAGGTGTTCTTCTCTCTCTCTGTTCTCTCCCTCCCTACCATCGTCTTCTGAACTATACACCTGATTTATCATTTTTAACATTATCTCAATATATCAATAACACTTTCACAACAAACCTCCTGCACGCACCTCTCTGTTGCATTAATTTCCTCCATTCTCACATTCTTCCGTTTCTATATTGTTTGTTCTCTTTATTCTATTTACCCAAATATATTATTCTTAAGTTCTTAATTTTTGCTTCTCCTAATTTCATTTGTTACTCTTCTATTCAGGGCCCAGCTTGACACATATCGCTACGTGTAATTGAAACAGAGAAATACGTGTTACTTTCTCGCACCGTAAGGCGTAGCTTGATTGTAACCGGAACTTATTGATGATGTAGTATATGGAATCATGAAATTCTTGACCATGGAAGCTCAAACAGGTGTGTACATACGCCAAAGGAGCAATTAGTTTAAAGCTGACTCTAATTTGGTTTTTATTTATCTAGGCAGGAAACTTTTCCTCCAGGGTGATAATTCTAGTGTCTGTTGGGCCTATGGTGATGTGGTCTGCGCCTCATGTTAGCATAGTCGCGCTCTAAGGTCACAGTTCATTTGTTAACCAGTTCTTGAGGTAAGGTGTTCTCCCTCACCCACCAGGAGAGGAGGGATACGTGCCTAGCTGTTGGTCATGTGGGAAATGGAGAAAGATTTGATTTTAACCCCAACTCTCTAAGAAAAATAGAAAATGCCAGGGAGTTGGAGGGAGGGAGGGAGGGAGGGAGGGGGGAGGAGGAGGGAGGGGGGAGGGAGGGAGGGAGGGAGAGAGGAGGGAGGGAGGGAGAGAAAATACATGTACAAATAAAACTAAGTATTATTGTTTTTATTTCCCTTCTTGTTCACTTGTTTCTGTACATGAAATCTTCGAGTGGTATTTGGGTACAATTGATGATATGAACTGTATTGTACTACTCAATAACGAGTTTCCATTTTTTAATCCATGTTTTATAACCAAACAACTTATCATTAAGCTTGTTAATCTTCATGTAATCATATTTGATGTTTTTGATGAAGATGACAGCTACTGCAGGTACAATACTAGATCTTCAGAATTATTGTAAATCTGAAAGAAATCTATTGTTTAAGTCGTGATAAGAATAGGATAAAAACACATTGTATAATAATATTTATTATTTTTTTAGATTATATTTGTCATAAGAAAATATAATAAGCATCTTGAAGCAACAAATAAAGGTTGTCAACTACACTTTGTAAATTATAAATAATAAACAAAATATTGATTAATCTCGAGTAAAAATTTAGTTGAACTCTTAACAAGTAACAAGTTAATTTTGGAAAACATTTAAGCTCCCCTGACCACACCTCAATATAACAAATACTTTAGAACATATTGGCAGATAATGAAGTAATTTAATTAACTTGAAACCACGACCGAGTTATTATATATTATACAGAAAAATACTGTTAACTGAATCACAAAGATTTAAAACAAGATTTCTGATTATTTTTGCAACACCGCAATTAATAATTTAGAAAAAAGACGCTCATGTTCAGGTGCAACATAAGTTGTAAATGGCACAACTTTATATAAGTACATAAGTGTATTAAGTTGTAGATAAAAGAGTGAGAACTAGAGTGTGCTACAGTATATGTTACTAGGTACAGCATATTATGGTCCTGACCCTGCTATGTCAGGCTCAGCTGGTTAGCTTAGTCGTTTTAGCTGCCTCTATGAAGCTGCAAAGCTGACATCTCTCACATATATAATTCCTGGAAGTGTGAAAGACAGACAAATGTCCTCTAACTGCAGCTTCGGTGTATAATAACAAAAAGTTTGTAAGAGTTGAGACAGATGTGGGAGGCAACACTTAGAAGGCGGGCGTCTGGTACAGGCCGGAGGGAGAGGCTGGCGCCGGTATGCTCAACCCGTTACCGTTGCCGTTTGTGTATCCATTGCCGTTCCTGTTGACTCAATTACCGTTGCCGTTGGTGTATCCATTACCATTGCCATTGGTGTATCCGTTACCGTTTCCGTTTATTCCATTGCCATTACCGTTGGTGTATCCATTACCGTTTCCGTTAATTCCGTTACCATTACCGTTAGCGTATCCGTTGCCGTTGGTGTAACTCGTTAAATGTTGCCGCTGACTCCGTTACCATTTCCGTTTTTGCAACCATTACCGTTGCCGTTCGTGTAACCATTACCATTACCGCTGGTATAACCGCTGCCGTTGGTGTAAATCCATTACCGCTGCCCGTGTAACCATTGCCGTTGCCGTTGACTCCGTTACCATTTCCGTTTTGTAAACCATTACCGTTGCCGTTCGTGTAACCATTACCATTACCGTTGCTATAACCATTGCCGTTGCTGCTGTTGGTGTAGCCATTACCGTTACCGTTGGTGTAACCATTACCGTTGACTCCATTGCCATTTCCGTTTTTGTAACCATTACCGTTGCCGTTGGTGTAACCATTGCCGTTCCCGTTGACACCGTTACCATTTCCGCGTCTGTAACCATTACCGTTGCCGTTGGTGTATCCATTACCATTTCCATTACCGTTTGTATGTCCATTTCCATTAACTCCATTACCATTAGTGTAACCGCTGCTGCTCTGCTGACAGTAGCTCCATTTCCATTTACCGCAATCCATTGCCATTTCCAAGGTTCCGCTACCGTAAAATCCCGTTACCGCTAATAATGCCATTGACGATGCTGTTGGAGTATCCGCTGCCATTACTGCTGACCAATTCGATCTGGAGCGTTGAGACCGTAGAACTGTGGGGCGGTGGAACAGTCGAAGTTGTACCACCAGTCACACACGAAGAACTGCTGGTTGAAGATGGTGCCGTTGGGACACAGGAAGGAGTCGCTCCTGCCATCTGCCTGACAGATGTGGAACACCTGTCGAGGACAACATTATGAAAGATGATTAAATCAACACACAACATCATTACAAAGTACTTGTATCTTTAATGTTGTTTCTGAATTAAGGTTTGAGATTTGTTGACAACTGTAAACAAACAGATGCAAAAGGAGTGTGTGTGGGAAGTACTGCAGTAACATGTTAATATATCCAAGCTGGGATCAACCAGCTTATACACAATTGAGAAGTAGAGAGAGTGCAAGATTCAATCCGACATCCGGGCTCGGAGCAGTATAAGACTCACCTGATAACCGGCCTCGGGGGCAATATAAGACTCACCTGACATCCGTCCGGGGTAATATAAATCTCACTTGACAGCCGGCCCCGGGGCAGTATAAGACTCCACCCGACACCCGGTCTCGGGGGCAAGGGCAAGACCTACCCGGGACAGCTGGCCTCGGGGGCAGTATAAGACCTGAAGGACAGCCGGCCTCGGGGCAGTATGGGACTCAGCTGACAGCCGGCCTCGGGGCAGTATAAGACTCACCTGACAGCTGGCCCGGCGGCAGTCAGCGTAGTATCCGCATGGGTCCGCCGCAGGAGAATCCAGTGAAGGGGACAGAAGCCAGGATGGATAGTCCACGCCGGGACGCCGCCACTCTCCAATAGCATCAGCAAGGGCGCTGATGGGGTCCACGATGCCGTTGTAGTATCCGTTCCCGTTAACACCACCGTTGCCGTTGACAAATCCATTACCATTTCCATTGGCATATCCGTTTCCGTTAAGAGCACCGTTGCCGTTGACCAAAACCATTACCATTTCCATTGGTATATCCGTTACCATTAACAGCACCGTTGCCGTTGACAATTCCGTTACCGTTTCCATTGGTGTATCCGTTTCCGTTAACAGCACCATTGCCATTGACAAATCCGTTACCGTTTCCATTGGCATACCCGTTTCCGTTAACCACACCGTTACCATTACCATTAGTGTAACCATTACCATTTCCATTGCCATTGCTGTAAGCCCCGTTGCCATTTCCGTTGCCATTGGTGTAAGCCTAGTTGCTTCATTACTGTTTGTATAACCACTGCTGCTATTTCCGTTGCCATTAGTATAAACACCATTGCCATTTCCATTACCGTTTACATAGCCACCGCTGCCATTTCCACTGGCGTAAGCACCGTTGCTACTACCATTTTTACCATTGCCATTTCTATATCCACCGTTCTTACTTCCGTTTCTGTATCCATTACCATTGATACCGCTGCCGTTGAAACCGTTCGTTGGTGCAATGTAGTTGGAAGCTTCAAGGCTTCAGTGAGGCCCTGAGGAGCGCTAGGAGAAAAGAAACAAAGGTTACTTGATATTGTACCAAAACAAAGTCCATTGGATTACTATTTCATAATATATTGATAATTCTGATGTTCTTGTGTAAATGTAGCGTGTAGCTGTGTAAATGTGTAGTTGTGTAGCTGTGTAAATGTGTAGTTGTGTAGCTGTGTAAATGTGTAGTTGTGTAAAAGTCTCAGGTACTATCATTCACACTTCTTTACTACTTTGTGAAAATTGGACCTTCTGAACTGAGCTATTTGTGTGTGTGTGTGTGTGTGTGTGTGTGTGTGTGTGTGTGTGTGTGTATAAAATGGTTATATCTCAAGAAAAACAAGAAACAAGAAACAAACTACAAAAAATAAAATAAAAATTAAACCATTTTAATATTCTAATGTTTTTATAATCGAATTCATATATAAGAATTTTTGTTTATCTTCCCATTAAAAAATTTATAGAATATTGTGTCATGTATTGAACAATTTTGATCAGATATATGTTATAGAAATTTTATAACTAAATTGCACAAGAACAAATTACTTACCTGAACAAGAACAAAATAAATAACAACTTTTTAAAAATTACAAGCTGTGTAAAATGTGTGGTTGTGAAAATGTGTGGTTCTTTTCCCTTTACCAGTTCAGGCCGAGTATAGTTGAAGGAGTGGTGCTTCCATGTGACCTGTAGTTACTGGAAGCTAATTGGATGTCTGCAAATCCTCAACATAGACCTCGAGCCTTGGGTGACTGGTGTTTTCTGAGTTCTTCATTATAGTTATGATCATTTATGACAGGTGTTGTTGATGACAGGTGTTGTTGATGACAGGTGTTGTTGATGACAGGTGTTGTTGATGACAGGTGTTGTTGATGACAGGTGTTGTTGATGACAGGTGTTGTTGATGACAGGTGTTGTTGATGACAGGTGTTGTTGATGACAGGTGCTGTTGATGACAGGTGCTGTTGATGACAGGTGTTGTTGATGACAGGTGTTGTTGATGACAGGTGCTGTTGATGACAGGTGTTGCTGATGACAGGTGTTGATGATGACAGGTGTTTATGGTATGTGTGTTTATGGTGACAGGTGTTGATGACGATAAAGTGGTAGAGGATAAAGAAGAATTTGAGCAATGACGAAGAAGTTACAGTAGAGGGCAGCCAGGAGATGGTTCAAGAGGGTACAGCAACAGGTACAGTATAGGGTACGTACTATGTCCTGAGATATAACCTGTTAACGGTATCTATTCGATAGTAACAACCCAGAGTTTTACAAAAGAGCATTTAATATTTAATCACCAACAGCGTTAAACGACTTATAATCAAAAGATAAGATGATTTATATCCCAAATATCAATATCGTAGTATTTAAACTTGCAAAATTTACCCCTATTATGTTATCAAAATATCTTCGTGTAGTGTATTAGCTTGTGAGTGGGTCTCTTTATGACACTTACCGATAAATATCAGATGCGTCGACAGCCTCATGTTGGAAGTACAATGAGCTGGCGGTGAAGAAGCTGTGGATGGTCTCTTGAGTACGTCTTCGAAGTTGGAGGCCGAGCAGGTATTGGAGGAAGGGCGGTGAAGGAGGAGTAGCAAGCAGAGAGCGAGAGTTGTGTGTGCTTGAGTCGAGATAGCACCGACTTATATAATGTCCTCGTCCAGTAATCTTAGGTCTTAAGGCCGGAAGAAAGAAAGAGAAATAGCCTGGATGAACAGCATGACGGGTATTAACTACAGCGGAACAACGCAATTCAGGTCGTAACATCAACAGTAAGCCTCACCTCTCGATATTTTTGTACCTGAATAATACCATTGTAACGGAGGCACATTCGCCAGTCATGCGAGTAATTCTATGTATTACGGCCTCTCTTAGTTAACCTGGTCTACCGGCAGCTGCTACGAGGTCGTAATCAGGCACTAGTTTTCTCTGTGATGCTAAAAATACGTTGATATGTGTGGAGCGTGGTTGGGGGGTGGGGAGGGGTAGTCGAGGCCCTCAACCACTCTGTGGCACGGCCGTATTGCCTTTCACTAGTCTTGTGGCACCAAGCAACAGGGTCAAGCTCGTCTCTCTGGTGTGATACATTAATTAAAAAAATACGTTCTTTAGCTTTAACAAGTATCCAAAGTGACCTTATGTGTTAATAGTTTAGCTGTGGTAATGACGCGCCTGTTTCTCGTCCGCCGTTCATCTTCCCTCCACACTCACCCACTTCATGCCCACACAACAACAACCACAACAAACTTCAACAACACTACCACCACCACCACCACCAACAAACAACAACAACAAATCCTCAACACCACCACCACCACACCACCAACACCACAACAACAACAAACAACAAACTTCAACAATCACCACCACCACCACCAACAACAAATCCACAACAACAACAACAACAAACTTCAACACCACTAACACTACCAACAACAACAACAACAATTCACATTAACTCTACCCAATACAATAACGATATAAACACTGGTTGTATACTTACGAAATACATCATACACAGCTATTAATGTCACTCACCAACACGAGGTATATCTTGTTACCTGTAATGTTTCTTCCATACAGGTAAAATAAATCACTTTTAACCTTACGTTACCATAATAATAAAATCTCATCTACCTGTAAAATACTCGATGATAAGTAATTATATCTGTTTACATTCCACCATCACGTGCTAAAATGTCCTCACGTAACTATAAACAAACTGTACTTACCAAATCATTCGTCATATACCTGAAAGAAATGAATCAACACCTAATATTTGCTGTATTTGTCAACTTAATTTCTTTCTGGGATAATAAATGATGTTTGATAACTCTTATACGAGTCTCTGTAAATGTGTCTTAATATCATGAGTCTGTAGGGAGTTTACTGACAGTGTGAAGTATATTGTGGGGAGCCGCTCATAACAGCCAACCATGGTCGTGTAAGTAATATTTGTACGGTTTTTCTCTCTTCTCCTCCTCCTCTTCCTCCTTCTCTTCCTTCTCTTCTTCCTCCTCCTCCTCCTCCCCTTCTTCCTTCTTCCCTTTCTCCATCTCCATCACCTCTTTTCCCTCCTGGCCACTCATAGCCACAAACCCTTATGTGTCCAGAATATATTGGAATTCTCTCAACAGTTAAGGAAAAAGAATGTCTCAAGTGGTTGTCTGATTCTGATATGTGTAATACTGTACAAACTACTACAACAAGTTTTCATGAGTTAAGGTTCACATTACGATAATCTGTTGTTGTTGTGGATATTACGACTCTTACATACTGGTTGTGTTATTTGTATCAGGTAAGTAATTTTATGTTTTCACAGCCTTTTGTGTATATGGTTTAGTTTAAATCACGTATTAACAAGATCAAAATCACGTATGAACAGCATTATAATCACGTATAAACAGCATTAAAATCACGTATTAACAAGATCAAAATCACGTATAAACAACATTGAAATCACGTATTAACCAGGAGAGTCCGCCATCTTTAGTCGAACCCACAGGTGCACGCCAGAGTGTGGTCAGGTCGTGCCCTCGCTGTGGTCCACCTAAGCTCCTCCCTCAGTGCCCTGGCCCCTGGGTCACCTGGAGCTACGCCTCGCTATAAGTGATTTAAGAAAGAGTTGGAGTAAGAAGGAGACAAAAGTAGGCGTAGTTAATGGTAAACTTTTCATCTGCTTGAACATTTTAGGTGTCACTTGGTGGTGTTGAGGTAAGAAATACTCCTTCCTTTTACCTGCTAGCACACTGACCACAAATAGCTCCAGCTGCTTCAGAGGCCCTAACTAACTCTCACAGGGCGACATACAGGGAGCCTCAGGGCGACATACAGGGAGCCACAGGGAGATACAGGGACCACAGGGAGGTACAAGAGGCCATGGTGAGCCACAAGGTCATAAGGTGCCACAGGGAGCTACAACAAGACATATAATACCAGACGGTTCCTCTCCCACTCCCTCTGACCACACAATTACTCGACTTCATACACATAAACGAGTACTTCCTGATATTTTTCTGACACGATGCAAACCGGAAATCTTTGACACTTTCTAACAAACTCCTGTGATTTTTCAAGCCGTCGTCAGGAAAGGAAGAGCCTTTGTTGGGCGAGACAAGGAAGACTTGACCGTGTTGAGGCGTGACGCGAATTTGGGAGGTCAAGATGGGGCCATTAATGTTGATCACTTCTTTATTGTTGCGTGGGGAGGTGTGGAGCCACACACACACACACACACACACACACTCAACCAGTACTGCATCGATGTTATTTACTAGACTTTAGCAAAGCATTTGACAGAGTACCGCATCAGAGGCTTCTGAGAAAAGTTATACTATGGTTTATGGAAAGTTTTAAATTGGATAAAATCATGGCTCACTGATAGAACGCAGAGGGTCAGCGTAGATGGTGTTAAATCTGAGTGGGCTGTAAGCAGTGGGTTCCCTCAGGGGTCAGTACTAGGCCCACTCTTGTTCATATAAACTACATAAACGATCTAGATACTGGGATCAGCAGTGACATAGGCAAGTTTGCGGATGACACCAGCAACAGGGCGGCAGATTACAATTCTATACCTCACACCTGATAGTCATCCCAAATACCTCCCAAATCCCTCCTGACACTGACCTGACACTGACCTGGCATCACCCGACACTCACCACACTTAAGACATATCATCACCATTATCTTGTCTTGGGCGAAACAAGACAATTACCCCATTAGTCTTGGGTGTG